GTCATGTAGATTTTGCTGGTAACAAATTATCTCAAGTTTTATATACCTGAAGATATCTCTGCTTTTAAATTTTGAAAAATACCTTCACCACATATAGAAATCAAGGTTGACAGATTTTTTTCTTTCAGCATTTAAAAAATTTTTTTCTTTTTTTAATTTTTATTGGAGTATAATTGATTTATAGTTTTGTGCTAGTTTCAGGTATATAGCAAAGTGAATCAGTTATACATATATCCACTCTTTTTTAGGTTCTTCTCCCATATAGGTCATGGTCTTTACAGAGTATTGAGTAGAGTTCCCTGTGCTGTGTAGTAGGTCCTTATTAGATACCATTTTATACACAGTGGTATGTATGTGTCAGTCTCCCAGTTTATCTCTTCTCCCCGCCCCGGTAACCATAAAAGTTTGTTTTCTAAATCTGTTCTGAATCTAGTGTGGTTCTTATTTCTATAGCATGGCATTTTGGGGGTCTAAACTGAATACCCAGGGTGTTCAGAGTGGTCTCTGGCTTAACCAGAACTCTAGCATCTCCAAGCACTGCACTGCACAATCTATGTAGACTTCAGTGGCCCTCCTCTCTGTCCAACCCTCTCTTCTTCACTATTCCGCCACACAAAGCCTCACCATCTCAGTGGCTCTGAACCCTGATTTCTGCCTTCTTAACTCACAAAGCTGTCACTCAGTGAGACAGCCAGGCTCTTCTTGGACTCCCCTCTGCACCAGAGTCTAGAACATGTCCTAGACAGAAAGCCAGAGTAAATTGGGGAATGACCTTTTGTGTTTCTCTTCTTTTAAGGGTCACAGTCCTGTGCTGTCTGAAGTGTAGTCCAATGCCTAAAAAGAGTTGCTTCATATACTATTTTATCCATATTTATTGTATTTTATGGCAGAAAGATAAGCCTATTTCTAGGTACTCTGTCATGGTCCAAATCACAGATCCTATACAACAGTTTTAAGTCCTATTAATAATTATGAAGATTTTCTGGCTATATAGAAAAGTGTTTGTGTATGTGTATCCAAATATACAGGAAGGGAACTTGAAAAATTAAGAATTGTTAATTGATTAGGATATTTAAAATAAAGGTCAGATTTCAGATTTTTCTGTTACTATAATTGTGACTGTGTAATAAAAATGACTTTGTTATGGAATTAAAGATTATTGAAATAGTTTTAGGTTGAAACTATTTAACTTTATTTCTTCCTTTTACTTTAGAATATTTTATTTTTAATTTCACTAGGCACCTAATACATTCCTTAAATTTATCTTTAAACTCTATTCTGTAATAACACTTTTACATGCACAGTAAATGACAAAGACAAAAACATTTTATATGCATAGTTTACACTGGGTACTTTGTTTTATATCTAACTGTTAAAAATTATAATAGGAAGTGGCACCACATTCAGCAAAGTTTTCTGTAAGTAGGATCCTCAAAAACATTAGTACCCCAGCTAAGTGACTGGAGAGTGTGTGTGTTTTAACTTTTTGAAACCAAACCAAATGCATGATTATTTAGACTGTTATTCCCATCAACTTAAAGCTAATCAAGGAACCATCATTCAGTTGTAATATGTATCAGTTCAGTTCAGTCACTCAGTCATGTCCAACTCTTTACGACCTGATAGACTGCAGCACTCCAGGCTTCCCTATCCATCACCAACTTAGGGAGCCTACTCGAATTCATGTCCATTAAGTCGGTCCAACCATCCAACCATCTCATCCTCTGTCGTCCCCTTCTCTTCCCACCTTCATTCTTTTCCAGCATCAGGGTCTTTTCCAATGAGTCAGTTCCTTTAGGATTGACTGGTTTAATCTCCTTGCAGTCCAAGAGACCCTCAAGAGTCTTCTCCAACACCACAGTTCAAAAGCATCAATTCTTTGGTGCTATAAGTTAAATAATCAGGGTGACAATATACAGGCTTGACATACTCCTTTCCCGATTTGGAACCAATCCATTGTTCCATGTCCAGTTCTAACTGTTGCTTCTTGACCTGCATACAGATTTCCCAGGAGGCAGGTCAGGTGGTCTGGTATTCCCATCTCTTTAAGAATTTTCCATAGTTTGTTGTGATCCACATAGTCAGAGGCTTTGTACTATGTATATAGAAGGAATATAAAATCACACACACACGGACACATATGAACTGAACAAATAGGACTTATGACTACTCCAAAATTATGATTTTATTCTACTAGCTATGTTGTGAAACTTTTCTTTTTAAAAATCCTGTCTTTTTAAGATTTTTTTTCTCAATTTCAAGTTTTCAGGAAAAATACTCAATATATTTTATATTTTCTTCTCAGTTCTCTTTTTTAGGAAAACATATATTCTTTTTTATTATAAAGATTGCTGGGTTTTCCCCCAATGGATAATGTAAAGTTTTAATGACCATTGTTATTAACATATCATATACATACAGTATAGTTCTTTTATAAATATTTTTAAATTATCTCTAATTGAAGCAGCTTTAAAATATTAAGGAAATTTTAAGGCAGTTACTCTTTTTTTTAACTTTTTATTTTGTATCAGGATGTAACCAAGTAACAATGTTGTGATAGTTTCAGGTGAACAGTGAAGAAACTCAGCCATACATGTACATGTGTCCATTCTCCCCCAAACTCTTCTCCCCTCCAGGCTGTAAGGCAGTTACTCTTAATTCCACAATTCTACTATAATTGTTTTTATTTTATCCAGTGTGTGTGTGTGTGTGTGTGTGTGTGTAGTTGTGATTATAATACATATGCAGTTTGGGGACCTGCATTTTAATTTCATGTTATTTCATATATACTTTTCCATATTGTTAAGTAACCTTCATATGTGTCATTTTAAATGTCTGCATAATATTCTTTTAAGTTACAATAATTTTTCCATTATCCTATCACTGAGGTTGTTTACAAATTTTTGCTATTATATTTGGTATTCCAGTGAATACTGTTGTATAGTTACTTCTCTGTTTTAGTGGCTTCATTACAATAAATTCCCAGAAGTATAATTTGCAAGTCAAACAAATAAACTGTTTTCTTCCTTCAGTTGTGGTGGTGGTGGTTGTTAAATACCTGCTTATTTTCAGCTTGTTTGTTAGTTAGCTGTCTCTATGCTTAAATTCTATTATAATTGTATTTATTATAAACCTGAATGATTCTTATTGCTGTCTGTTGGGCTTGGGTATACATGAATCAGACTCTTCTAATGTAAGAACAGCCATAAAGCAGCAGGTCTGGAGGAAGTCCCCATAAATACAGTAGAAACATTTTATAGGTTTCCGAGGGGATTCTGTAACTATATAGTGGAAAATCTGTTCAGTTGGGGCTTAGGGTATAATATTCTCCTCACTTAGCAGTTAAGAAAATGAAGCAACATAAAAAACAGTGTAAGGAAGTTAGAGCAATTTAAGAAATAACTGAATCTATTAAATACTCAGGAAGAAGCAAGTTTTACAATTTTAAACAAATGTGTAACGCTAAAAACCACATATACTCTCTTTGTCTCAGAGCTTGATTTTTTTAACAGGAAAATTGACTGTTCTATTTTCCTAGAAATTTATAGATGAGAAACTTATCCCCAGCTTTAGTGATACTATTTTTTCAACAAATGACTTCATGCTTTTAATGTTGTAACTGTCATCTAATAATATTCTCTGTAATTTTTATGTACAGAATATAAAATAAATATTCTGTATAAATACAGAATATAAAATGTACTTATCAGCTCCAAGTTATATATATGTTGCTCACATATGTTAAAATAAGTCAAAGGAAAAATTTGTCCCAATCCCAATCATTAAAGCAAGTGATAAAGCTGTTAAGTGATTATTTGGCTTGTAAATAATTGGGTTTTTTAAATAACTAAATTTTTGTCTTTGAAACTGTAATTTCTACATTATCATATACTTTTCCTAGGAACTTCAGTATATTGGTTCTGATTCGTCTAATAAGTAATTTCTCACCTTTCACAGGTGTATTTGTAACCAAGTCACTAGACTATACCCTGTCATATCTAATTGTATAAGCATGACTTAAAATAGTACCAAGCTTGTCATTATTCCACCCAAAGCAACCCCTTATTCTGTCATTGTTGCCCCCACTTTCCTCAGTACTCAGTTTTAATACCTTAAAATCGTTCCTGACGCTCAGTCTTCTCTCCCCTCAATATCTAGTTAATCTCCAGATCATAACTCCCTGTATTCTTCCTTTCTGTTTTCCATTACTGCCACCTTAGTCCTGAGACTCATTACTTCTGTACCACTGCAACAGACTTGAATTTTGCATATGTGATTTTATTGCTTAGAAAAGTGGTTTATTCCAGGAAACTGCATCACTTACTTATAGTCTTACCTTTAGCAAAAAAAAAAAAAAAATGCAGATTTTGTAAAAACAAAACAAAAAAATCACCTTTTTTTGTATAAAGATGTTATTTCTATTTAAAGAAAGGTATTTTAGTAGCAGAAAATAATATTCTCTCATATAGAGTAAATTATGAACCTGAAAATACTTATTTCTAGAAAGTGCCAGATCTTAGAAGGATAACCTTCGAATATGCTGTGTCAAGTAGTCTATCATTTAAACATAAGTAAATCCATACACAGAAATTAAGGCAGCTAATAAGAAAAGTATAAAAGGAATATTGAAACTTTTAAAGAATGCCCTGTTCATAAATTAACAAAAAGATTAAGCTTTAGAGTAAAACACAGGAAACCATACCAGTACCCAGATAAACAGGCCCCATAGTGCTCCTGGGACATTACTTCAGCAATCATTTCCAAAAGGTGGCTGGGGCTTGCAACGCAACCAAAGTTAAACAGAAGAACTGTAGGAGTTCCAGAATTATACCAGCACTATCAGAAGGAATATCTGACACAAAATGTATTCATTTGATATGGGATTTGTTTGTATCCTTTGTCTTTAACTAATCTAGAATGAAAGATGTATCCCTTAGCACTCTTTTTCTGCCTTCTTCAATGATAAAACACATTTTATAATCTTTATTTTTTTTTGAAAGGGATCACATGCAGTGGTCAAAAGAAGAAGAAGAAGCGGCCAGAAAAACAGTGGAGGAGAACTCAGCGGTGCGAGTCCTTTCCGAAGAGCAAGGTAAACAGCTGTACGCGGCTCCCGGAGCCCGGCTTTTCCGTCTGACCTCCGTCTGGCTCCGTTCGCGCCGCAGTCTCTTTTCCTCCTAACTGTGTCACCGTTTCAGAGAGCTCTGAGCTTCTGCCTATGCTAATTTACTTGTTCCTTTAGGAGAATTCCCAGTCATTCCAGTGTAGTGAAACCAAAGTTAATGAAATAAATTACATACTTACCCTATATGAACTTGCTCTTTTGATAGTCATATTATTGCTTTCTCTGGGAGATAGGTAACGGTGGCATTTCAAACAAGATAGGAGAACACAATTTTAAAATTTTCCTTGTTGTTATCTTTTAGTATGCTATTGTGCATTTCAACTGCTGGGAATATTCAATGAATTCAAATATATTCATATATCAAAAGAAGGTAAAGTCATATCAAAATGTTGCTGGTCTTTTAAGATGAACACAAAGTTTCAATAACGATTTAAGCTATTTTTCTTGGAGGCCTTTGATATTTAGAGTTTAATTTAGGTAAGGCCTTGCCAACCTTCAAAAATGGTCTCTAAAATATTGCCCTACTGTGTAATCACCAAGTCAGAAAATAGTAAATATGGGTGAAGATGTGGAGAAATGAAACCCTTGTGCACTAATGGTATAATTATAAAATGGTACAACCTCTGCTGACAATATGTAAGTTCCTCCAGAAATTAAAAATGGAACTACCATATGATCTGACAGCCCCACCTCTGGATATGTAGCCAACAGAATTGAAAGAGATACCCAAAAGGTCTTGAAGGAATATTTGTATACCTTCATTCATAGCAACACTATTCACAGTAGGCAAAAGATAGAAATAGCCCAAATGTCCAGCAGATAAATTGATAAATAAAATGTGGCCTATTCATATGGAATATTATTCAGCCATAAAAAGAAATGGAATCCCTGTCCCATGCCATATAATCTGGATGAACTTTGAGGACACTATGTTAGGTGAAATAAGCTAGTCACAAAAAAGGCAAATACTATATGAGTCCACTAATATGAGGTATCTAAAGTAGTCAGATTCATAGAAACAGAAAGTTGAATGGTGGTTAGCAAGGGCTTAGAAGAATGGGAAACAGAGTTGTTGTTTAGTGAATATAGGGTTTTGGATCTGCAGGATGAAAAAGTTATGGGCATCTGTTTCACAGCAATGTAAATACACTTAGCATTGCTGGACTGTTCACTTACAGATGGTTAGGATGGTGAATGTTATGTGTTTTTTTAACCACATTTCTTTTTTTTTTTTTAAGACACTAAAAAAATTTTGCCTCTGTCCTTCTCACTGAGTAGCTGGGAACCCACAGACAGTTGGCCCAACCCTTACACTCTTCTAGAGAGGATTTTCTGCTTTGTTTTTCTTAAATGATTTCTCCTTTAAAACAGGTTGTTTTGTTTTCTTTAAAGAAAATACAGTTTATTGATATACCAAATACCCACAGAAATTAACACAATTTATAAATGAGTTTTCACAAAACTCAGTGAATTTTCCCAATACCCTTATTAAGAAACAGAAAATTATCAGTAATCCAGAAATTTCCTCATGCTGTGTCCCAATTACTTTCCTAAACCCCTAAGACTCCACAAAGAGCACCCACTATTCTGGCTTCTAATACCATAAGTTAGTTCTCAATCACTCATGTAGCAGTATCAGTGTACCTGTTAGATAGAACAAGAAGCAGCAAACTGTGGCCATGAGTCAAATCTAGCCCACTGCCTGTTTTTATAAATAAAGTTTTATTGGAGCACATACTCATTTGTTAACATTGCCCATAGCTGCTTTAGAGGTGTATCTAAATAGTTGAATAGTTGCAAAAGAGTCTGTATAGCCCACACAGACTACTTACTGTCTGGCCCTTTACAGAAAAAGTTTGCCAGCCCCTGAGATAGAATTTTGTTTCCACATTGATCAGCTGTCCTGAAACTCCCCAGGGAAAAATGTTTGCATTCCTCCTCTGTTCAAGCCAAGTATAGTAAAAATCACTAATCCCACTGGTAGTTAACTATTGTTCTGGTGACTTTAGTCTACACTTGAGGCTAAAGTTTGAAGCAAAGGGTACTGTTGAAACTGAGCTAGTGAAATAGCCCTCATTAACTGCCCTTTACCAGTGAAGGGGGCAGTGTCACCCTATCTTATCCTCTGGTATCATTTGCTGTCCCTCAGAGCTAGTTTTCCTTCCTTACCGTAAGCATGAATGTGTCCTGAAGGATGGACAGGAGGGAAGAGCACCTGATCCACAGTGGAACCATTCTATTTTTATGAGCTCCAGCCATGCAGTCCCAGAATGGGATGTGGCCAGGGAGTGTTGGGGTTGGATTTGAGAGTGCATACCAGTGGCAATTCTGCTTACAAATCAGCCAACATTGCATTCCTTTGCAGGAACTCTGTCACACTGTTTCTGAGGAAGTATAATTTTGCTTCTTTGCCAGCAGCTGCACAGACATATTTTCCACATTACTCAAGCTTCTGCTAGTGGCCACCTGGATATGACAGAGAGAATCAAGCCTAAACAGAATTAAAAGATATCAGTCATCTTAATTCTTTTCCAGGAAGTTAAAAATTATCCATAGTTTATTTCCTGAGAATATGAAAAACCAAGGATTTTTTTTCATGCTCTCTCGAGTATTTCTGTTTAGAACATAAATAGATGAGCAGTGCTGATAATGTTCCCTTAAAGTGCTCTATATGTGGCTGCCTATTTTGGCCTATTTATGTTAACAATGAACTTGAGTGAAGCTAATGAGGAGGTTATTTTCGGGCCTTGGAAACCGCAGTAAAGGAAAATGACAGTTCCCACAGAACCATAATGTGACTGAAATAGAAAGGTGGTGACTGGCCTTTCTCTATAGAAGCAGGAAAAGCAAGCTGGAGAGGGCTGATGATACTCCTTTGAAGCGTTTGGTTTGCTTATTAGCATGTCCAGTCTCTTTCTGAGCAAGTTTTCTGGCTGCTGTGGAGACACAGAACAAAAGAATTCATTTAAAAATGCCTCCCAGTGATCGAGGCTTCTGTTGGGTCCCTACCCGCATAACACTACTCAGTGCAGTGGACTTTATACATGTCAGAGAACCGCTACAAGGAGAGGAACCCACAATGAGGGTGGCCATTACATCACACTTAAGCAAGGTTGCCCAGAGCAGCAACCAAGGCAGCTGCTGAGGGTGGCAAAGAAAGAGAGAAAACTTCTGTCCTGAGAAACCATGTTGAGTGACAGGACGTTACAGTGAGACCAGGTACATACCCAGCCACCCACTCCAGTCTCCACCAGGGATCATCAACATGCAGGTCTGCAGAAGCCCTTGGTGAGGCTCCTCATTGGATATTTAATGTCTCTGATGAATATGGGTCAAGGTGAAGAGATCCATTTAAAAGCTCTATTCCCAAACGTTGTGAAAGCCCAAAGGAAGCTGTGACCTGGTTCTTCTCCCACTGCCCCTGTCAACCACAGTCTCTCTTGTTTTTTAATATATATTTATTTTTATTTGTTTTGCTGCATGGGTTCGTAGTTGTGGCATGTGGGATCTTATTCCCCAACCAGAGATCAAACCCAGGCCACCTGCATTGGGAGCACAGAGTCTTAGTCACTGGACCACCAGGGAAGTCCCTACCATCTCTTCTTATCCAGGAGAGTCCTAAATCTTTGAAAAAGCCAATTTTCTCTCATCACAAAGTATTCCACTTACAGAATAGTATATAGTATGAGCCTTGCTTATTGATTTTATCTTACTTATTTCAATGCCCCTAGGAGGAGGTACTGCTGGTTTTCCCACGCTGACCAGCTCTCTGGCACCTTCCTTTTGGTCTCTGTGTATGTCAGTCTCTCCTGTCACTCCCATTTCCCATTTCTCATCTATTGTCTCAGCTGTTGGTGAGAACTGAAGTCCGGAAACACCCTCACAATTCTGAAAATAAGAACTTATCTGTCACAGATGAGACAGTCTTTTGCTGTACAGTGGCTGACATTTTCATCCTGTGATTAAAATGTAAAGCATCTAGGCTATCATTAGCAATGTTTCTTTCAGTTAGATGCTCAGATTAATGATTTGTGATTCCACATTTCCTTTTGGTAATTTATTTTAAATTTTATAATAGCTTAGATTTCTTTTTAAAACAGATTAATTCAGAGAAATGAGAAAGATACATTTGGCAGTTTTTGAGTTAATATGATTATATTTTTAATTTCCTAAAAACATTTCCAGTGTGTTATATCTCAGCTGGTAATTTAGCAAATGTAATGGGTTTTTTAAACTTAATAACAAATGCAGCTGCTATTTTTACTTTAAAATACCCTTGTAAATAACTATCTACCTAGAGTGAGTTGCCTTTGTCAAGAAAAATAGTAAAAGAATCCCACTATACCTTCCTTTGTGAATACCTTGACACTTGAGAGTGTCCTACGTGAGAAAAAAAATAAGAGTAGCTTAAAGTTTTGTGTGCTGATAAATTTAGAGTACTTGTTTATAGGTCAGCTTTGGTTGTTAATTTCATACTGTTCTCAGACTTTAAATTTCATAACTTTAAGAGTTTTATTTTATTAGACAATTAACTTTATCAATGACGTGGAAATTTCCGACTTTGAGAGCTTAGGTGTTTGTGTAATTGATGTACAAAAACAGCTTTAAAATGACTTTTGTTACATTGCAACTTAGAATAAATTTTCATAATTTGTACTAATATGTCAAATACATAGATGGTTTAATTCAGTTTTTTTAGTTGTGATATTCAGTGTGATTCAGAGTGAATTCTGAATATTTAAGTATGGTTAGTGTGTCATAGTCTTTCTTCCCCTCAGCAGTATTGAATTTAATAAATGAATAATTGAGAAGTTGTTTCATCTGACTGTGGTTAAACAGATCACTACACCCCTTTTATCGCCGTTGGCATAGAGCAATTAACTCTGAGTTGGTAACCTAGGAAAGTAAAGGGATATTTTTCTCCTCCAGGAAAAATTGATATACCTGTTTAGAAAGTCAGCTGGACA